AGAATTCATCATTGGCGGTCAGTGCAGGTCTCACGGCAGAAGGGGGGACAGAAGCAGAGCAAGTCCTGTGGCCTCCCGGAGCTTACTTACATTCTCTTGGAGAAATTGGCCTGGTCACAGGAAAGCACAGGATGGGTGGTGTTGATAAGGAAAATAGGAAAAGAGGGTGGAGTTAGGGGTATTGCTGCTGTAGCAGATGCCTGTCCCTGTTCATTAGGTGACTTTTGAGCAGGGCCTGAATGAAGTGAGGGATCAGGTCTGGTGAATACCTAGGTGTGGGCCTCCCAGGTGAGGAGATAGCAGGTGCAAAGGCCCTGAGGAAGCACTTCAGGAGAAGCGAGGACCCATAATAGGAGGTCTTGAGGGCACTGTAAGCACACTGAGGGCTCAGAAGCTTTCGGAGGGTTGTGAGCAGAGTCCTGACTTGTAAAAGCATTCTGACTGCTCACTGAGGGGCAGGCTCAGTGGACTTGGTGGAAAGGAGCCGATTACTGTAATTGTGGAGGTGCTGAGGTCAGGTGGAGGTCATGTTCTCACTGGGCTGCTGGGGAGGGAGACCGGGCTTTTTTGGCTGGGTGAACATGCCATTCAGCTGTGACTGAGATGGTGAAGACTGGAGGGGGCTTGGGGCAGCCCCCAAGCTGGGTTTGGACCTGGGAGGTTCGGGACGGACGCCCTTCAGTCTTAAGGAGACCCTCAGTGAGCTGGGTCTGGGATCTAGGGGTCACATGTTTGCTGAGCAAGAACCTGGCCGTGTCTCTGTGGCCTGTGAGGGGGCTCAGCTGCTTGGGCATTTGACCCTGTGGCTCCTTTGAGCTTTTCCCAGTCAGAGGGGAATGCGTGCTCATGTTCCTGACCGTGTCTGGGAAGGCAGGTGATGAATGTTCCCTAATACTGCTTTCCTAGGGCTTTTTGGTTTGATTGCAGGCATTTTAAAAAACATATGTAAATAGAAAAATAACAAAAATAAAGTAGTAAGTTATTTAAAAACAATAAAATGGGGAATAGTGGGAACTACATTGGGTAGATAGTAAAATGTAGAGTAAATACAGTAATTGCTAGCAGTCGTATTCTGTGCCATAAAATAAAGTCCCACATCTTCACAAACTCCTTGTTAAACAGATGTGAGCCTTGTGTCATTTCCCCCGACATGGCTTTTCTGGTGCAGCAGGGACGGACTCAGGAGGCCTGCGCCATGAGCCCCATGGACTTGGACTTGGAGCTCCGGGACACAGACTGCAGGTCGGCACCCAGCGCATGAGTCAGCGGAGAAGCCTGCGGGCCTGTGGGCAGGAGGGTGGAGCAGAGAGGGTGGAGGGAGAGGACTGGTTTCCTGGAGGCACAGGTGAGGGGCGTGTGTTTCGGGAGCAGGCGCTGAGCAGCACGGGGCACCCTGGAGAGGTGCCACACGTGGCCACAGACTCACCTGGGTGTGGAGGTCAGTGACAAGCCTGGAAGGGCAGGTGGGAACTGAGTGGTGGAGGGCTCCGAATGCTGGGGCGGGGACGTCTGACTTTGCTGGGAGCTGTCCTGCACAGTTTTGAGCGGGGCAGTGACGTGACCTGGAAGGACAGCTTTGGGAGCCAAGGGACCCTGATGGAAGGGGCAGCGAGCGAAATCGGGCCCCACAGCCGCTGGCAGCGAAGGCCCGGTGCACTCTGGGTTTGGAAAGAAATAGCTGTTAGCAAGTGGGTAGAGCACGGAGCGGTTTGCTGGCTACCGCCTCCTGGGCGGGTTCCTCCAGACATCTCTGCATGCCGGGCTCTGGAGCCGGTGGAAGTGATGAGTTGCTCTGTGAGCTCTCACCCTGATGGTGTCGGGTCACAGAAGGTTCCAGGAAGAGAGTCTGCCAGGCTTGCCCAGGGGGGCGGGGGCGCTGCCCGCTTTGCTGTGAGGTAACATCCCCGAGGGCAGGGGTGAGGGTCGGGCCTCGTCCGAGGATGGAGTCCCACACACCTGAAGGAAAAATGGCCATTCTGGGCCTCGCACAGGGCCCTGAGCCCCACGGGACCGATGCCCCTGTCCCACGGGAGCGGCCGCATGAGAGAGTGCACACGGTGCCGCTGGCTGTCTGGTGATCACTTCCGTGTCGTGGCTTCGCTTTGGCCGATGAAGTGGGTTGTCAGAACCCTACGGCTAGTGGCTCACCTGCTCCTTGAATGGCACCTCTGGGAGGGTCTCTGTGTTTCCAAAAAGACTGCAGATCTCTTTATGTCACTGCTAACCCCTTTTCCTGGTTCTGCACTGGCTCAGGGCAAAAGCTATGTCCCCATCCCCAGTGAACAGAAACAGTGGTCTGTCTCCAGAAATTCCGGTGGGTCCAGTGACGCTTTCTGCTCTGCCCACCCCTGAGGCCCTGATTTCACCTGCAGGATACCTTCCTGGTGGTGATAAGAAATGCAGGAATCCCGTCGCTCTCAGCATGTTTATCTCTAGTTTTGTTTTTTTTTTTTATAAAGATTTTATTTATTTATATGACAGAGAGATCACAAGTAGGCAGAGAGGCAGGCAGAGGGAGAGGGGGAAGCAGGCTCCCTGCCGAGCAGAGAGCCTGATGTGGGGCTCCATCCCAGGACCCTGGGATCATGACCTAAGTGGAAGGCAGAGGCCTAACCACTGAGCCACCCAGGCGCCCCTGTTTATCTCTCGTTTTATCTGCCAACTTGCGGAGTCTTCAAGTGCTCACTGGGAAGCTTGGTCCTGTTCTGTAGGAGCCTCCGGTAAGCTGCTGGCTCCCACTGTCCCCACCCTGGATTAAATCAGACCCCACCGATGTCCCCTACAGGACTCTGAGGGAGATGGGGCTCATCCAGGGGCCCCCAGCCCATCACCACAGGCACCTGCATCCCACCCACCTCCCCGGGACTCCCCCAGCCAGCCTCGGGGGTCCTCGGGGCCGCACCAGCATGGGAGCGAAGGCACCGCTTTGCAGTGATGTCTCACGATGGTGCCTGTTTCGAATTTTCTTTTAAACCCTCCATGAAATAATTTCTTGTGGACGCAAATGGAAAATCAGCTAATACACGTTGAAAAGAGGTGGGAGGGCAGGTGTGCATCCTCCTTCTTGTTCTGGGTCTGTCTGGAAGCTTGGTCAGAATGGACTCTCCTGGGAGACGCCTCGGCCCCCTTTCCTCAAGTAGACCTGTGCTGGGGCCCGTGTGTCCTGAACAGGAACTCCATAACGAGGAGTGCATGGGCGGGGTGGGGGGGAGAGTGTGCGGTGGGTGCAGCAGGGAGAGCATCCTTTGGCTCAAGTATGGTCCAGAGCACTTGCCCTCTTGCTCACCCAGTCCTCGGAGCAGCTCTGCACCAGGTGGGGAGCCCCTCACGGGATTTCACAGCTAACTGGCTTTCCCCTCCACCACACCTGCAGTTTCTTTGGCTGTGTCTGTCTGTCTGCTGTTTCTACCCACATATGAGTCCCATTTCCAGCAAGTGAGACTCGTCTTTCAGGTCGGAAGGATTTTCACATTCTCTCATCTCAGTGATGTAGGTTCACGGCACGGTTCCTCTCTGGAGCTGTACTGCCCCGAGGTGGGCTTTGCTTGCCTCCCCGTGCCCCGTCTCTGGCCTGGGGGCTGGTGTCTGCGTCCAGCTCAGTGCCACCTTTCCTCCAAGAGCATTCTTCCGAGGAAGGCGATATTCTGTGGGAGAGAAGGAAAGAACTCGTCCCCAGAGCCACGGCCCTGTAGGTCATTCTGAGCCAGGCTCGGGACAGCCGAGGCCCTGGAGGCGAGGGCGTGGACTGTCTTTGAGCCCTGTTCCTTGTTCCATGCACCTTACACAAATCATATTTATTCTTCGCACAAATCAGTTAGGATGGTGCTGTTGTCGCCCCACATGACAAGTACAAAAACTGAGCCTTGGTGGAGTTAAACATTGAACACAAGCTATCCCCACAAAGGGGGGTGTGGGCCGGCAAGGCTGGGTGTGCCCCCTGCACGGTGGGCGCTCAGCCTGGCCTGCTGCGTGCGGAGCGTAGGGGAAGGGCGGCCATGGATGATCCCCCACCCCCGGGGCCCTCCAGGTCCCTCCGACGAGTGAAGGCGATGCACCTGGGCCAGAGGCCACCTTCCCAGCCATCTCTGGATAGCGCAGGCAAGGAGCAGCCAGGTTACATGAGCCCTGTTACCATTGCATGAAGTTCGCCTGCCCTCAAGTTGCTCATTTCCCTTTCCCTTGGAGGGCATGGAGAATTCGCTGCTTTGAAATTGGCTCCTGCCCGTGGGCTGGTGAGGGTGTGCCCATGGCCAATCACGTCCCAATCTCCAGAATCCTCCTTTGTGCCCCTTCCAGAAAGAAACAGGCCTTAGAGCCATGATTTGTGAGCTTCATGCACAGACACTTCTCGGGCGGTTGGCCGAGTCTATGTACCATGGCTTCACCTGCGCACGGTACCCAGGGGTGACTTCGAGGCAGAGATGGCTGTGTGTGTGTTTTATTTGGGGTTGTTGTTTGTTAGGGATCCAGGGAGGATTTCAGGGGAGTGTGAGCGGAGCAATCCCCCCAGACCCCGCCATGGTGGGGCCATAAGAGGCACCGTGCCGGGAGTTCCTCTCACGGGTGTGGGAGCCACAGCAGGAACCGTGCCAAGAAGGGGACCAGCCGCTGTCAGGACAGACGGATTTATTTCTTCTTTCCCAGACCCTGAAACTGGCTGTGTGGACTGTGCAGATCCTGTCTGTCCTCCTCTTTCACTGTGATGAGCAGGCTGGCCAGGGGCTAGAATAAATGTCCCAAACCCTGTTGTGCCCCAGGGTGCAGACAGCAGGCCAGGAAACGTGGGCTGGCTCTGTGCGCCGACAGCACCGATGAGATGGACGTAAGGTGCTCAGAGAATCCAGGGAGGGAGCCCTACTCTGCTCTCTTGGGCCGGGGCGAGTGTCTTTATAGGAACAGCCTCTGGAAGAAAGAGGATTCCCATTTCCTATAAAATCACTGTTGAACCCATGTTTCACTTGCTCAAGGGACGTTCTCGTGTTTTCCTCCCCCGCCTGCAGGAAGAAGCTCATTGCCAAGTCGACCCCATCCCGCGGCATGGCTGCCTGAGAAGAGCTTTGGCAGGCACTGGGGGTACCTGGAGGAAGAGCGATGAAACCTTAGCCGTCCCCCCAGGAAGACAGTTCGAGATGGCAGCTCAGCGGATCCGAGCTGCCAACTCCAGCGGTCTCCCTCGGTGCAAGTCCGAGGGGACCCTGATTGACCTGAGCGAAGGGTTTTCAGAAGCGAGCTTTAATGATGTCAAAGGTGAGCTTACGGGATACCCTGGGTGGCTCAGTGGGTTAAGCCTCTGCCTTCGGCTCAGGTCATGATCCCAGGGTCCTGGGATCAAGTCCTGCATCAGGCTCTCTGCTCAGCAGGGCCTGCTTCCCCCCCCCCCCCCCCCCCCCCGCCTGCCTCTCTCTGCCTACTTGTGATCTCTGTCAAATAAATAAATAAAAATCTTTAAAAAAAAAAAAAAAAAGTGAGCTCATGGGGACAAAACTGTGGCTGGGGGAAGCAGATCGGGATTTGCAGGTGCTCAGAGACCCAAGGGACTTCTCTGCCTTAAAGGCTGCCAAGTTCCCAGTTAAACTTTAGCTCTCTAAACTTCACCGACCATAAATCCAGCCCTAGAAAATAACCACTTGTCTTGGGGGTTTTTTTGGTGTGTTGGGAGGTTTTGAATGTTGCCCTTGGTAATGAAACTTTTTCATACAGAATGTGTTTGTGTTTTCTTTTTTTGAGAGTTTTGGTAACATTAAGGTAGGGAGCTGGGTGCTCAGGATACTCGGGGGAAGGACAGAGTATAGCCAGCCAAGGAAATATTCAGAGCTGCTACAGAGGAAAAGGTGGTCTGGGACTGGGGTCAGCAAGAGTCCCCTATGAGGGTCACCCACGGCATACTATAGTCCTTGCAGGCCCCAAGGGTGCCACCACAGCTATTCCTCTGCTGTTGCAGCTCGAGAGCAGTCAGAAAAGACAGTAAGCAGTGGACACGGCTGTGTTGCAATAAAACTTTATTGACAAAAACAGCAAAGGGGCCATTGTTGGCCGATCCTGGCTGTAGAGGTGGCCCCAGGGGTGAATCACCCTGAGCCACCTGTTTTCTCTTAACAGCCACGTACAGCTGGGTCGGTGAGGTGGGTGATGGGTACTTGTTGGGTACTTGGGTCGTTTTCTTCCCAGAAGTCCCCTCTGACCTTAGTAGGTGCTTCCATCCAGCAGCTTCCCTACGGCGTTCACCACAGCGTGTTCATTACCTGCTGGGCCGTCCAGAGTACGAGCTGAACTGTGGGAGCTGCTCTTGGCCTTCATAGCTTTAGTCCCTAGTGCTTAATGAATAGTCCTTGAACCTAACTGCTGTCTCCCCGCTAACACTGTGGCCCTCTTCCCTGTTGTCCTAAAAACCATATGCTCCCCATTTGTCTCTTCCTAATCGCTTCTCCCTTCACTGTATCCTCAACTTCTTCCTCTTCTGGTCTGTGCTTTATGCTTGGAGCCCTGGGCATTGCATTTAATGTTCTTCACATGAACAGACTGGCAAAGGAGGTCAGGAGATTTTTATTAATAAGAGCGGCACTGTTACCAGGAATTGCCATGAATAATGGGACCCTTCGTTTTTCACAGGCTGGTAAAGGGCATCGTCTTCTTACTTGATAGCCCAGCTAATCATGCTTAAAGCTGGAAACGGGGAGCATCGTTTGTGGGATTTGGGCTGGGGTCTTGAAATGGGAGAGCTGAAATTTTTAAACAATGACGATGACCTGAGAGGTGTTAGGGACCTAACAGGACACCACGGTTATGGGGAAAAGACAAACGAGACAGCCTGGGATGCCTGCTTGTCTGGTTAGCCCACAGAGCCGCTGGACCCACTTCCCAAGGCAGCTCTGCCCGATGGACAACAGGCTTCAAGGTGGGGATTTGTTCCAGCCAAACTGCCCGCTGTGAAGCCTTCCACCCCCTCATTAGTGTTCCACCTGCACCAGAACTGAGGCAACGGGGTAAAAACTGTGGGACTCAGTGGTTTGTGGCACACAGGGGTTTTTTTCTTTTTTTTTTAATTAAAATCAAGGATAGCTGTGAATCTGGACAGTGCTCCTCAGAATTCATTAAGATGGGATTTGATAAGGATTCTTCTGCATTTGATTGGGTGGATGCCCCCCTGGTGTCCCTGGGTGCCCTGTGACAGGTGACTGATGGAGGAGCTCACACCAGAGTCCTCCTCCGAGGAGCGGCCCAGCAGGGAGGAGCACCATTTCCCACTGGGTGAGCCGGATCCTTGAGTGAAATGTGTTACTGCTTCTTTGCTAAGGAGAGTGCTTGGAATTTTAAGTGAGCCCGTTTTTATTCTTCAGTCTGGTGAAACTAAAGCGATAATTTGCACTGATACATTTTCTTAGGCTTATATACAAAGCCTGCTTAATAGCTTTTGGGTTTTAATTTTAAAAATATCACTCTAAGGGAATTGTTGTGGGGAACATAATAGGGATATAACTTCTGAGAGAGTCTAACAAGATTTTAATAGCTGGCAAGCTCTCTGATTTTCATTTTTATGTGACATTTTCATTAGACATGTCAAAGAAACAAAAAGTGGTTTATATTACTGGAGACAGTGCCTGGAAAACAAACGGAGAAAGATCCTTTTGTCCCCTGACCCCAGCCTGACCCATCCCTTGTCCCGCCACCTCTCCCTCAAAGGCATTCTCTTTTTCTTAGCTGTTTTATTCACTCCCCTCCCTTCACTGTAAGGGATTTCTGTTTGGGGCACACCCAGGGAGAGCACCTTGGCCCCGTAACATGGATAAAGGCTCTCTGTCACGTGCCTGCGAGATGAACATTCATCCCAAGAATATTTGTTGAACACCTGCTATGTGACAGGCTGTCTTCCAGGATTACCACTGTGAGCAAAACAGACCCTAAGGGAGCTTCCATCCTAATGGGGCAACATAGTCCTCCCCACAGAAAAAAATGTATGTATATGATATATCGTTTAATGAGAAGTGCCATGGAGAAAATAAAATTAGGAGGGGGGTAGATAGGTCCACTGGGATGTAATAACCCTTTGTGGGTCCTTACCTGGGGCTAAGCATCTTTATGCTAAGGACGCTATCAGAAAACCTTACTTTCAGCAGAGTCCACTGAGGGAAGAATCTTAGTTCCTGAGGCCACACGGCTTCTCAAGGCTGGATTACAGCAGAGGCACAGTGAGCCTAGGGCCAGATTCTCTGCCAGCACTACACACGGAGGGTGGGAGGTGACGGCCTTCACCGCCCAGGTGATATCCCTCTAGATACCCCTCTAACCTGGTTCATGGAAATAGGAACTTCCTGCTTAATTTCCAAGACTTGGCTAAGGAAATTCAATTCAGTTTTCATTATTTGTTTTCAGAGGAAAAGGAAACCGGCCGAAGGTGTTCTGGAGGGCCCGTTTGATAGACCAGAGCTTGTGTTGACTAAATCGTGTGTTAGAGACGATGCGGGGGTAGTTCCACTAAACACACGGGCCTGTCTTCCAGTTGTTAGTTATAGGACCCCAGAATATTAACAACCTCTGTGACACAAGGCACACTTGGGGTGGGGACTTAGTGCTCTCCGATGGAACTTTCTGCAACCTCTGGACATAGTCTGTCATGTATGAGAGGGAGAGAAAACGCTTCAGTATTTGATTATCCCTTAGTGTTCAAAGACGCACACCCCTGGTTGAGATGACTGACTTTGGCCACTCCGACTGCTGTTGACCTCCATAACCTGCGTAGTTGAATGGTGCGAACCAGAAATTAGCTCGAGTCACTGTTCTAAGTGTCGGGGTTTTTCAGACTTCAGCTTTGGCTCAGAAATAACGTGACTGCCACGAGACATAAAACTGTTGTTTTTCCAGGTATGTGGGAGAGGTGGTTTCCAAGTTGTCATTCTGATGATCATTTAAAGGAGGCTGAAAGAGGCTGGCCTCAGAAGGCTTAGTTTGGTGGAGATGGGTTCAGCTTGTCAAGGAACCTTCTCCCACCCCGCTCACATGTTCTGTGTTGAAGGCAGAGGGTATCACCCGCTCACAAACACTGAGAGCTGCTTTGGAAGCTCTTCATTGCCCATCCCCGGCCACAGACAGTGGGTCACTCTGCTCAGTGCCCTGCACGCCTGTGGGCCTCGCCCTCACCACCTGTCTCTTTGTGTTTTATGCAGTGCCTTCTCCCAGTGCCTTGCTAGTAGACAATCCCACACCGTTTGGAAACGCAAAGGAAGTCATCGCAATCAAGGACTACTGCCCCACCAACTTTACCACGCTGAAGTTCTCCAAGGGGGACCACCTCTACGTCCTGGACACGTCTGGCGGGGAGTGGTGGTATGCTCACAACACCACGGAGATGGGCTACATCCCCTCCTCCTATGTGCAGCCCCTAAACTACCGGAACTCCACTCTAAGCGATAGCGGGGTGATCGACAATCTTCCAGACAGCCCAGACGAGGTGGCCAAGGAGCTAGACCTGCTCGGGGGGTGGACGGATGACAAGGGGTCCAGCAAAACCTATAGTAATAACCCTTTCTGGAACGGGGTCCAGACAAACCCGTTTCTGAACGGGAATGTGCCAGCGACGCCCAGTGTGGACGGGCTGACCCCCAGAAGCGCTGTGGATCTGCTACTTTTTGATCCAGGCACGTCCTCGTTCACGGAGTCCAGCTCCGCCACCACCAACAGCACCGGGAACATCTTCGACGAGCTGCCGGCCACGAACTGCGTCCAGGCAGAGGCACCTGGCAAGCGGGACAACCCGTTCTTCAGGAGCAAGCGCTCCTACAGCCTCTCAGAGCTGTCGGTCCTGCAGGCCAAGTCAGATGCCCCCAACTCAGCGGGGTTCTTCACGGGCCTGAAGTCCCCGGCCCCAGAGCAGTTCCAGAGCCGGGAGGACTTCCGAGCCGCCTGGCTGAGCCACCGGAAGCTGGCCCGCTCCTGCCACGATCTGGACTTGCTGGGCCAGAGCCCCGGCTGGGGCCAGACCCAGGCTCTGGAGACGAGCATCGCCTGCAAGCTGGACAGCTCCGGGGGCGCCGTGCAGCTGCCCGACACCAACATCAGCATCCACGTGCCCGAAGGCCACGTGGCCCCTGGCGAGACGCAGCAGATCGCCATGAAAGCGCTGCTGGACCCCCCGCTGGAGCTCAACAGTGACCGGTGCAGCAGCGTCAGCCCGGTGCTGGAGGTGAAGCTGAGCACCCTGGAGGTGAGAACCCACATCATCCTGGAGATGAAAGTGTCAGCCGAGGTGAAAAACGACATTTTCAGCAAAAGCACGGTGGGACTCCAGTGCCTGCGGAGCGACTTGAAGGAAGGGCCCTATGTCCCCATCCCCCTCACCTACAGCTACGGGGACACGGTCCAGGTCCAGCTGGACAACCTGGAGCCCTGCATGTACCTGGCCATCGTTGCCCATGGCCCAAACATTCTCTACCCTTCCACGGTGTGGGACTTTATCAATAAAAAGATCACCGTGGGGCTCTATGGCCCCAAACACATTCACCCATCCTTCAAGACCGTGGTGACCCTTTTTGGGCATGACTGTGCCCCAAAGACGCTGATGGTCAGTGAGGTCACCCGCCAGGTCCCCTGCCCTGCCCCCGTGGCCCTGCAGCTCTGGGGTAAACACCAGTTCGTCCTGTCCAGGCCCCAGGACCTGCACGTCTGCATGTTTTCCAACATGACCAATTACGAGGTCAAGGGCAGTGAGCAGGCCAGAGTGGTCAGGGGATTCCAGATGAAGCTGGGCAAGGTGAGCCGCCTCATCTTCCCCGTCACCTGCCAGAACGCCAGTGAGCTGTCCGACTTCACCCTGCGGGTCCAGGTGAAAGGTGACCAGGAGGCCATCCTGACCCAGTTTTGTGTCCAGACCCCCCAGCCACCCCCTAAAAGTGCCATCAAACCGTCCGGGCAGAGGCGGTTCCTCAAGAAGAACGAGGTCGGGAAAATCATCTTGTCCCCATTTGCCGCCACCACCAAATACCCAACGTTTCAGGACCGCCCGGTGTCCAGCCTCAAGTTCGGCAAACTGCTCAAGACCGTGGTGCGGCAGAGCAAGAACCACTACCTGCTGGAGTACAAGAAGGGCGACACCATCGCCCTGCTCAGCGAGGAGAAGATCCGGCTGAAGGGGCAGCTGTGGACCAAGGAGTGGTACATCGGCTATCACCAGGGCAAGGTCGGCCTGGTGCATGCCAAGAACGTGCTGGTGGTGGGCAGGGCCAGGCCGAGCCTCCTCTCGGGGCCCGAGCTGAGCACGTCGGTGTTGCTGGAGCAGATCCTGCGGCCCTGTAAGTTCCTCACCTACATCTACGCCTCCGTCAGGACCCTACTCATGGAGAACGTCAGCAGCTGGCGCTCCTTCGCCGACGCCTTGGGCTACGGGAATCTGCCGCTCACCTTCTTCTGCCGCGCGGAGCTGGACAGCGAGCCCGAGCGCGTGGCATCGGTTCTGGAGAAGCTGAAGGAGGACTGTAACAACACGGAGAACAAAGACCACAAATCCTTCCAGAAGGAGCTCATGATGGTGAGTGCTCAGTGGGGAGCCTGGGGCCTGACAGTCCGCTCTCACTCAGCGCCTCTCCCTGCACACTGGGGCATGGGTTTGGTGAATCACCGGGCCAGCGTCCGGGCGCGTCTTCGCTCTCTGGAACGCACAGGGCTTAAGTGTGCACGTGCACCTGGAGGGCATTTGGGGAGCCCCAGACAGCTGAAGAGCCACCACGGAGAGCACCGTTCAGGTGGCTTTCTGCTGGATTCGCCAGCTCCTTGAGGTCTCTGATGGACCCCTCAGGGCCCGGTGGGAGTGGGGGGCATGGGGAGACTCTCACTCCAGTTTGCCTCTGTTTTGATGTCTTGGGAGAAGATCCGTGTTTCCTCAGATTCCCACCAGGATCTAGGACTCTTAGGTTTTCAGAACTGCCACCCCAAAGTTTAGCTTTACTTTGATAGGAGTTTCCCTACCCTCGAGGTTTCCACATTTCTTTCTCTGCTTCCTTTTTGTGTGTGTGAGTAGGGATTCAGGACGGCCTCTGTTTCTCCGGCACGGCTGGGAATTGCAATCCTGAGACTAGGAGAGGGCGAGGTTGGTGTCATACCACAGGACACACCCAAGCCTCTAGCCAGCAGGGAAAGCATTTGCTCAAGTCCCCCACGGCCTCCCACGGCCTGGGCTCTGCCACCCTCTCCCAACTGTGTGCTGCTCGTGGCCTGTCATAGAACACTGACCTGCAGAAGCTTGATGGTACCCTCTTGGCATCCCGCCTTGCATCTGGTGGACGTTGGTTCCATGGCAGAAGCATCCTCTGTCTCCTTCCCCATCTTCCCAACCTGTCCCTGGGCTTCTTCCTGTAGAAACCCTTGTGATTTGGTCATTGGCGTTCCTTCCTTGCTCCCCCAGGCCCCACACACTCTTTTTGCCTCCTGACTTTTGTAAGAGGTGAGTCTCAGCACTTCAGAATTTCTGCCACCTGTACTCTCCCAATCTCCATGTGGCGAGAGCAGCTGTGGGAACAGATGAGCCGGGTATGCGTGTGTCTGAGCATGCCCGTGTTGACGTCAGCATGCCACTGAGGTCTGTCCGTGGCACATGCAGCTCTCGGCTGTCCTGGGAGCCAGGAGCCAGAAGGGATACAGTCCCCTGCTGGCTGGGGAGAGGCGGGGCTGCATCCCCACCCGCTCCCTGCAGGAGGCCCTTCCCCTAGCTGGCCCCCTAGCTGTGGCAAGCCCAGCAAGGCTGGTGTCCCCTTGGATGGACCGGGCTCAGTGGACAGGGATGCACATCCCTCTCCAGGCCCTCGAACTGCGGTTCGCTGTAGATTTTAAAATCGGGTGCTTTCATGAGCGTAAACAACACTGATGGCTCCTTCATTACAGCCAAGACGCCCTCACCTCCAGTGGCCGGAGCTGGGGAAGGGGACAGTGGGAGCAGCCCTTCCCAGCTGGGGAGGAGTGATGACAAGGGAGGCCCTTTGCTTACCCACGTTCCCTCATCTCCTTTCAGGTCTTTCCAGACTTAAGTGGTGGCTCTTTCTCTTCCATGTGGGGGCCTTCTGTGACAGCACATGTTTTGGGGGCCGTCCCTGGGTTCCTGTCCTGAGGCATGGGGGTCTCTCCCGGGCCTAGTCGGGTCTGCTCAGAGGTTTGCAGTGTTTTTCCCTCGTTCGTCTCCTGGACTAAATCCATCACCATCCTGAGAGCAGGTAGATTAGAATGTTGGCTGAACGTCTAGAAATCACAGGCTGATTTGTCCCTGTGTGTTTCAGGGGTTGCTGGAAGCCGGGTTCCATTTCTTGCCACGCTTGAGTCTCTGAACGGTGGCTTCCCGCAGCCTCGGGGGGTCTGCCAGCCCTGCAGCTGTCACGGCCCCTCATGTGGTGGCACGGTTTTCTGTTCAGATGGGACTCCCTGGTCTAGAAACAGTGAACCCATGGGAAGGGGTGAAGGTTTGGGATTGTAGGTTTGCAGGGAGATGGGAAAGGAGAACAACATCGTTCTGTCCTCCCGCCATCTGAGGGGGGTCAGGCCTGTGCCCACGCTGCTCCCTTAGCCTGGAACTCTGCCCCCATGGACCCTGGACAGAGGCTCTTCACATCCCCCAGTGCCAGCCCACAGGTCGTGCCCTCAGACCTTTTCCGTGCCCTGCTTCATCGGCCCCGATCACTGTCTGCATGGTGCTTTCCCCAGTCCCAGATGGCCTTGCTGCCTCGAGTTCGTGTTCTTGCTCTTGACCTCATCAGATATAAACGCCGCAAGAGAAAGGCACAGGAAAGACTCGGACATTAGAGGAATTAAAGCATGAACGCCCGCCCGTTGGGCCCCAGAACCTGAGCCACGTCCTACGGTCAGACCGTGCTTCCGCTCTGGTTCTCCAGGTACCTTCCCTCCTGCCGTCGTTGCATGGCTTTGAGGGGCGTCTTGCACAAGCCCATGGTCTTCCCGGTGTGCCCCTGCCTGCCCTTTCCCACCTAGACTGTGCGACCACCGCCAGGGAATGCCGCCCCAGCCCCGTCCCCTTGCCTTGTGGTGGAAGCCATGACCATCCATGCCAGAGGACGGCCACCCTGCCGACCAGGCCCCCCAGGCCGGACTGAATGCGGCGGGGTGGGAAGGGGCGATGCGGGGCTGCTGCAGGGAGTGGGCAAGATTGGCACTGAACGAGGCAAGTAGCCAGGGTGGACAGAGCCCCTGGGGACCTCTGCCGGTAGGACTTGTGGTGGCGGGTTGGGGAGAGGTCAGGAAGGGGTCCTCAAGGATCACCAAGTGGAAGGTACAGGGTGGAAGCTTCTGACACAGAGCAAGGAGGAGCCGCCACAGACAGCGGTGCAAGTGTTTCCCAGCTGCCTCCTGTGTGTGCAGGGGCGATGCTGGCTGCTGGGCTTTCTAAGGGCAGAGGTCCTTGACGTGAGCGAGGCGTGGAGTGATGAGCATGAGGGCAGGACACGCTTACCGAGAGCCCCCTGTGTAGACCACGGAAAGGTGAGCAGGCCTGAGGGTGGGGGCTTGTACTGGTGCAGAAGCCCACTCGCCAAGGCGGGGGGCCGCCAGGTTGAAGGCACAGCATGAGCAGGACCAGGGTCCCGGAGAGCAGAGATGGGGGCAGACCAGAGAGCACACAGTGATCCCAGAGGGATGGTACGTGGGGTGTGGGGCCACCCGCACCGGATCGCGCTCGAGCTTTGCTCTGTAGGCACAGAGAGGGGTACAGTGGGAGAAGAGAAGGGGAGCCAAGTTGGATACAGTCGTGTCCCTGCGCGCCACACCCCACAGCCCCTGAGCCCCTCAGAAGCAGCTGCCCATCCCGCCGGGAACCCCACTCCAAATGTCATTCCTGCAGAACATCAGGAGGGTGCCTGGGGGCGGAGGACCCCGTTTTCTAGATACTCGTTTCTAGATCTTCGTGTGTTCGGGAGACGAATGGGCAGCTCCTTTCTATCCGCGGTGAGAGGTGCGTTCAGATCCGAGGACCGCCAGGTGGGGCCGCCCTTCCGGGTTGGTGCGAGATTGCCTGGGCCGCCCCGCCTCCGGTCGGCTTCTCACCTTTGCAGCCATCAGAGGCGCCCCTCCTGCAATCAGGCCTTGCGTTTCTCGCTGCAGTGCGCGCTTTCCCCGCTCCCGTGCAGGTCGGCCCCGGGGCCCATGGCCACTCTCTCACGGCGCCATCGGTGAGAAGCGGTGTTTTCTTGCCCATGGGCCCGGTGGTGTGGACCTTAAGAGCTTCAGGGGCCTGTGTTTGCACAGCTGTCTTGGCTCATCCCAGGGTTTGTTTGGTCTTGAATGGAAAATGGTTTTGTCGCTGGGGAGTACACAGCTGGGAGTGACAGGAAGTGGGTGGCAGGTGCTGTTACTGTGGCGATGGACTGTCCCGAGACCCCTCCTCCCATTTGCCAACCTTGGGCTCCCCATTGGGACTTTTGTTTTCTTCACGAAAGGGAGAAAGCAGAGCCTGTTCTTTGCTCTTGGCACGGTGACGTTCTTGACCACGTCTTCTGCTGCGTCTGGTGCCAAACACATGCTTGTGTGTGTTTTTACCGGTAACTATGACGGGACTGAAGGGGCTGGAGCCGCTGGGCATCTGAGTCCATGGGCGGACTCTTTGGAGAAGGTTCTCTGAGAAAGAGAAGGTTCCTATAGGACACACATCAAGGGAAGGGCAGCTGTTTCCAGGAGTGGAATAAAGCCCAAGCCGATGGAAATGAGGGGTGAACTGGGAGATTCGGGGGGTGGGGTGGGGCTGGAGAGGACGGTCTGGAGTAATTCTCCGAGAGTCAGGCGAAAAGCCCCTGATCCCCACAGAAAGAGGGCAGTTAGCTAACCACTGCGCCTATAAGGGGTTCCTGGGGTTCTTCTCATGCTTGCATGTCTTGGGAACAGAAGCATGGGTGGGATGACCATACAGCAAAACCGAAAGGATACCTCATTGTCTTTTCATAAGAGTAATTCCTAAAACGGGGCCTGGAAGACTGGCTCCTGGCCACCTGCTTTCGTACGTGAGGTCACACCGGACTGAGCCATACCTGCTGCTTCCCACACCGTCCGTGCTGCTTCAACCCCACACCGGCCGATGCAGGGGCTTGTGACAGAGACTGCAGGGCCCGCAGAGCCGAAACCTCTGCCCTGTCTAGCGCTGGGTCGAACAGGTTTGGTCACCTGACTCAAATTTCCGTTCGCTCCGTCGGATTGCTGCCAGGGGTCAGCCTCGTTTCGAATGGGATTTTCTGGGATTACCTCTGGGCATTTGTGTGTGTGTGTGTGTGTGTGTGTGTAAATTAAAGAGGAAGCTACAGGGGAAGGAGCCCGAGCCTCCTGCTGGAAGCTTTCCACTGCTAGGACCCGACAGCACCCACAGTATGCCCTTAAAAAAATGCCTAAATGCCCCCTGGGTGGTGGTGTGGCTGCTCTGGGGCCGTTGAAACCCGCGCCGGCTCATCCAAGTATGAGCAGAGCTGAAATTAGTAAACGAAGGCGCCTCCATCCGCGTTCATCCTGCTCCTCACAGTGGAGCCCCAGTCCTCGCCTGTGGTCCAGGGACAGAGCCATTGTCATCACTCCCGCCAGGGGCGACCCCAGTAGGAAGCGTGACTCTGGTGCGTTCTGTTTCCTAGAAAAGGAGGCCGCCTCCAGAGCTGGGAAGCCACGGGCAAAAGCCGAGTGCAGACGCTGAGGGACTGACGGTCTGCTCTGTCCAGGAGGGGACCCACCTGCCTCAGTGCCTTCGGGACTCCAGCCTCACCACATGGCAACAATTGAAATCCAGAGTCCGACCAGGGTATCGCACGTCCCCCTGCCACACACGGGGACGTGCGTGTGTTTAGATCCTCTGAAGCACGTATCTACTAAACATCGATTTTTTTTCTTTTTAAACAACATCACTTGAATGCCTCAAAATTCAGAAAAAAGGGACCCTTTTCTGAAATACATAGAGTTGAGAAGTCACATAGTCCAGACCCGTGTTTTCTTTGGTTCCGTTCCTGACGTCGAGGAGTGAGTGAGTGCCCGCAGAATTTGGGCAAAGGCCTGCCTCCACCTCTGTCCCCTCAGGGACCCTGGACAGGCCACCTGCAGGTGTCGGGCCTCTCCGGCGCCTGCCTCACAGGGGTTCTGAGGAGTGGATGAGACCCTGCCCGGCTCACCATAGGAGCTAGGAGCTCGGTCCGCTTGGCTTATTCCAGAACACAACAGAACCAACCCAAACAGGACCACGCCCCCTTCCGGCCCACCACAGTTCCAGCTAGCCGCCACCAGAGGGACCCATCACCCCCGCTGCAAACTGCAGAGGTTGCCGGGCTGGGGTGTGCGGCTCATGCATTCGGCCAGAATGCATTGCCAGAAAAGTCACCATTCCTCCCATCTTGCTAAGCTCCCCCAGGATCAACATGAAACATAGATGGGGATACTCCGTCTCTGTCAGGGACCCAGCAGATGGTAGCTGCGCTCAGTCAGGGCCGCCCGCCATCTTCGCAGAACAGTGGACAAAGTTCTCACAGGAGCTGTGTGTCGGGCTCAGTCAGGAAGGGGCTGCTGGGCTGGCTGTTCCCAGCATGTGCTCTTGGAGTCTTGGAGTGACAACAGCAGGTCCCCAGACAGAGCCCAGAAGAACAGAAAGAACACCAGGTGACTTGTTCTGCTTCTAGCCTCTCCAGGCTGAGGCTCACCTGTCCGAGGGCCTGGGAAACTGTCTCTAGGGGGCCTCCGAGGCCCTTCTGCACCTCACGGTGGGTGGACCCGGGGGCCTGCTGGTTTGTGCCGGCTGATTTGGTTTTGTTTCTTTAAGACCCCTGCCCAGGGTCTCGCGGAAGACATTGGACTGTTGAACTCTGCATTGGAAGCTTGCATGATCCGGCCCCTTTCCTGGGGGGAAGCTTGGGGCCCGGTGGGGATTTGGGCCGGGCTCCATCCCCTTGCTGCCTTCCTTCCCAGGGTGGTGGGCATTTGTTTGTTTCCCTCCGTATTCTCTCCACAGTTGGTGACTCCTGTCCTAAAGACACACTAGAAAGTACTTTCAGCTTTGGCAAAGGGAGCAATCCTATTGATTGCAGAAACTGTTCTGATAGCGGTCCCTCAGCTTCAGCCTCCGGCCTCTCCATTCTCCTCACCCTCCTCCCACCCTTCCACCTGGGGTCTTCACTTTGCCCTAAAACCTGATAGTCCAGATGTCTGTGTCCAGCCGGTGCCCGCAGCACGTCCCCCCAGCCTAGCTCCTGGTCCAGTTCCCTGAGCCCCAGGTGTCCGGTCCATCTCAGTGAAGCATCACCATGTCCAGCTGCTCTGAGGGAGCAGAAACAGGGCCAGTAGCCCGCATCCGCCCTCGCCCCATGGGTCAGCATCCTGGGGCTGCTGAGACAACGCGTCACAGACAGGGTGGCCCAGGACAACAGAGGCATGTTCTCTCCTGGTGCTTGGGGTGGCAGGCCTGCTTCCTCCTGGAGCTCGGAGGGAACGTCTGGTCCAGGCCTTGCTTCTGGCTCCCAGTTGCTCCGACAGTCCTCCATCCTTACACGTCTCTGTCTCTCTCCTTATAAAGACAACCAGTCATTGGGCGAGGGCTGCCCTAATCCACCGCAACCTGGTGTTAACGAGTGGCAGCCACAAAGACTGTGTTTCCGAACACAGTCTGAGTCTCCAGGCAGATGTGACTTTGCAGGGAGAGTGCTGGCAAGCCCATTCCACCCTGCAAAACTCACTGCTTTCCTTCCACCCTGTGAGTGTCGGCCATGCCGGAGTTCAGGGGGCACTTTCTAGGTCCTAGAACCTTCGGGAGAAAGAGCCCATTGCCCCCACGTGAAACCGGAGCCTGCCCTCTGACCTGCCCCATGCCCTGCTCCTTCCTCCACAGGCCTTACTGAAAATGGACTGCCAGGGCCTGGTGGTCAGACTCATCCAGGACTTCGTGCTCCTGACCACGGCAGTCGAGGTGGCACAGCGCTGGAGGGAGCTGGCCGAGAAGCTCGCCAAGGTGTCCAAGCAGCAGATGGATGCATACGAGTCTCCGCACCGGGACAGGAACGGGGTCGTGGATAGCGAGGTGAGCCTGGGCGAGGAGATGCACTCATAGCTCTGTCTGCTGGACAGCATGTGGATGGGGATGAGTGAGTGGACGTGAGAAGGGGAGACTCTCCCTGAGCGGGGTGAGCGTCCTCCTTCCCTGGACTTGGCTGCGCGTCCCGATCTTCAGGGACCTTCCGTCAGACAGAGCAGCGCATGAACGGAGCCCTTTGTGGCCACTTCTGCCCGGTCTCTGGCCAGGTCTGTGTTGGCTAAACACCTGGTATGTTGTGAAACTTGGGTTCCTGCTCAGAGGTTCTTTGTAGTCTCACTTGGTGGCGGAGGTTGCTTTAAGCTTCTGGAAAGTGGGTTCAGGCCAGGAGACGTAGGAAGGAGGAAATCCCAGAACAAGGGTGTCCTTTATTCACGCAGTGAATTTCTAAAGAAATGGCCCACCCGGAAAGTGCTGCAGGGATTCAAGGAGAGAGTCCTTCCTGCCTCCTCAGATGCCCTTTGCTATGTACCTGCTCTTGCACAAAACACCTTCCCTCGGAAATGTGCTGGCTCTGGACAGGGTCTGTTCCTCCTGTTTCTCTGGGTTTGTCTCTCGCTCCAGGGGGAAGCATAAATAATGAGCAAAGGAACTGCATAATAGGATCGAATAATAATAGGATGAAATAATAGGATCGAAGAATAGGGTCAAATCTCTTACTGTCCACCCATCTTCTCTCCCCACTCCCTTCTTTTATCTTGGACGACTCCACCATCCAGGCCATGTGGAAACCCGCCTATGACTTTTTATTAACCTGGAGCCACCAGATCGGGGACAGCTACCGGGACGTCATCCAGGAGCTCCACATAGGTCTGGACAAGATGAAAAACCCCATCACGAAGCGCTGGAAACACCTCACCGGGACTCTGATCCTGGTGAACTCCCTGGACATTCTGAGAGCAGCTGCCTTCAGTCCCGTGGACCATGATGACTTTGTGATTTGAGTGGGTTCCCTCACACCCACCGCTGCTCTGGGCCCTGCACCGTCAGTCTGTCCGGGATGCCCACGCCGTCACATGGAGCTGGGGAGGGAGGAAGGGCCAGTGGCTCAGACGAATCTGGGGTCCCTCTAGGGCTGGGCCCACACCCAAGGACCAAGCACACGGCAGTGCTCTACCACCCTCCTCCATCGCTGGTGGGGGCCGGGGCGGGGGCCTGAAGGGAATTTCTACTGCAGGTCATTGCCAATCACATAGCTTTCTACTTGTTAGGTGTAAATTTAAATTGAAAACTCCTTTTTTTAAAGTTTTGGGGGAAGCAGTTGAGAAAGGTGGTATCTCATTTTTTTAAAGGACCATAAAGGTTTAAAAAAAAAAAAAAACACCTTAATAGGAGAGGATGCTGTTGAGGTTTTTATGTTCTCTAAAGACCTTTTTAAATTATGTCACAGATGTATATATGTATTTAAAGGTCACTGGGGGCATTTGTGATTCCCAGCCACACTTTGCGTTTCAACACTTAGCACGCGGAGAGACGCTTGTTCAAGTGTTGGACCCCTTTTGCTCTCTATTTGTAAAAAAGGGTAAATCAGATAGGAACGTGGTTTTCAGTTGATGAGTCCGGCGCTTGCCTATCCTTTCCGAGAGTGTCCTAGGTCCTGCTGTCCCCTCTTGACTTGATTCTCTATGTCCCCTTGCCTCGTGTTACAGTAAATGATCAGTAGACCTTCTTCTAGCTTTAGTGGGACCTGAGCCAGCAGGTGCCCATGAGATGAGAAGGCAGCTGGGAGCTGGTGTTCGTCCTGGCCCCCACCTGCATGCAGTCATTCAAGAGAATGGTGCCATTTGCCATGCGGTGGTTCCCGCAGCCTTTGGTCCCCGCAGCCATCAGCCACCGCTGTCCCGTTTCTCCTTGGGGACGGGGGAGGGGAGCCCTGTGCCAGCGTGTGCACAGAGGGACCGGCTGCCACTAGCCAGCTCCACTTCATTCATTACAAAGTCAGCCCCTGTTCCTTCCTGGCACACCCCTGTGGCCTAGGAAATAACATAGGGGACACCATCTTTTTTCTGTCCAAGAGAAAGATTAATAGGCTCTGAGCAGGATGAACGTTTTCCAGAAAGGAAACTGTTTCCCACCGAAAGTCAGGGACTCAGAGCATTGCACTGATGCCCTTTACCATTGCCAATCAGTGTGCTTGTGCGTGGGCACACGGTGCTGGGCTCTGCCATCCTGCTGTGGTGGTGGCAGCTTGGGAGGGGGGCACGGGGCAGGACGGAGGAACTACCTGGCAGATCGAGAGGGAAGATTCCGGGTATGTGCTAGGACACGCAGCCTGCTTGTGTGGCATGATGGTGGGCCACTTGGGATTCCTGGACCTCATTCCCTAAATCTGCTGTCTTGAGATGTGTTATGCTAATTACCTAGTGTAATCAGTGGGTGATCCCTATTGGGCTGAAACATTCTTACGTATCTGCTGATTCAGATCCTGAAGATCAGCTGGCTAGGAACACACAGAAAAACACTATGTTTTTTTATGCTGCAAGAACCAGGACACGCGATTCCCCAATCATCCCACGAAGTCACCGTAAACTCCGCTTCTCTCTCCCACCATCATTCTTTCAGAGGTATCTCTCGCCTTCTCCCCAAAGAAGAAGCAAAACCAGTCGCACCTTAAACCGTGGATATTTTTCCTCAGGGGCTTTAAATAGTTTCCTATGCAACATGTCTTGTAGCACAAAAATTAAATTCTACAAAAGTTGCAGTAAATTTTATTTGGATATTTTAACCTATTGTGTGTGTGCGTGTGTGTTTTTCTGTACACAACCGAACTTCAAATAAAACAATAAAACCTTGTGAAAGCATCTGTGCATAACGGCTCCTTCCCAAAGAGCCATCCCTTGAGGACAGTGTGACCGTTGGTTTAGCAGATGACTTTTATATTTTTACCAAATATTCTGTAGTCTGGTCCAAGAAGCTTGGTTAAAATCTCTAGTTCTCCAGACGCCTGGGTGACTTAGTCAGTTAAGCATCCAACTCTTGACTTTAGCTCAGGTCTAGATCTATCTCACAGTCATGAGTTCAGGTCCGGCATTGGGCTCCCTCCTGGGCATAGACCCTACTTAAAATTAAAAAGAAAAAAAAAATCTCCATTATTAATATTAATTCTGATATTCAAAGTAATAGTCATTTGCATATAAAATTATGGCATTGGCAGGTGTTTTTAAAGACCAAATATTCAGGAAAAGGATTTGGTTAAAAAAAAAAAAGGTTTTTTTCCCGAGAAGAAGACAATTCTTTCCGTAATACATTCCTGCCTCGGTCCTCACTTGACTGTCCTACAGTCATGTCACATGGGGCAGGAGCCAAATCGCTGTGATCACCAAGCTCCCCCTGCCCTCTGTCACCTGGTCTGGCGGCCAAGCCCAGACTTGGTTCTGGGACAGCCTTCCCCACGAGTGGTCACCAGATCCCAGCACCCTATAGTCTCCCCTGCATTTCTGCTGCCACAACGAGACCTCAGTCTTTGCCTTCTCTCCCTTTGCTCCCCTTACTACTCACTATTCAGCACCCTCCCCGCCACCTGGCCACTCCGCTCCTGCTTCCTGCTGTATGGTCTGCTCCTGGCTCACGCTCAGGCTTGGCTGCGCCTCCCGCGAACGTTCAGCAGCAGAGCTTCTCCCTGGACCATCCCCCACAGGCCTACCTCCTTGCCTTTGAGCTGTTCCCCCACACTAGAACACCTCCCCTCCATCAGCCACACTGAGCTCCCTGAGGTCATCGAGCATCTGAACGCATTACTGAACCCCCAGAGCCTGGTGCCACGAACGTATTGTGAGAGGGAATTGACTGTGACTGATAGAAATGGTCCCTCAACACAGATAGCTTGGCTATCGGGGGGCCTAGGAGAGGCTTCGTACTGGGTTTACAACCAGTGTAAGACCTATTTGGTCAGCGATGAGGGCATCAGACCCAGCAGTTTGTGAAGTGTTCGAAGGGGAGAACATGGCAGGGATGGAACTCAAGTGTACACCAAAAGCAATTAATTTCCCTAATAGCTCATTTCTGGCCATGAGGGAAATGCTGTCAGTTTGGTCCATGATTTATGCTATAATAAAATTCAATTTTATGTAAAATAGATTGAAATGGCATCATCTGAAACAGTAACCTGAATTCAGGGGAAAAGAGTGTCGCCACGTGCCCAGGCTTTGTATCACACCTGCGGTCTATGAAAGGTTTGCTCCAATTCATCTTCATGATGACCTTGGTTTCAAAGAGGAGGGAAGCAGCTGGGAGTGGGGGGAGCAGCAAACAGGCCCAGCTGGTGCAGTGGCTAGTGCAAGCTCCGTCCACCCCCAGCTGTGCACTCCTGCCGCATCAGCAGAGAGAAACCCAACAGCACACAGGCCATTGAGAAGCAGGTGCCCGGGAGTGAGCGGGCAGTGCCACTGACCACTGTGCTCTGGGGAGCCGGGGGACCAGCCAGCAGGGTTTTCCCTCCACCCCTCACAGACCTCTGCTGGAACATGTGTGCGCAGTAGTTAAAGAATTTTACAATCTTACAATTTCATGTCCATTTCCCTAAAACCTCAAGTATTTAAAATATTTGCACTTAGCCCAAATTTTTCCTTTTTAAAAAATTTCAGCTTTATTGAAGTGTACTTGAAATAGAAGCAACATCTTCCACTTTGAAGACCCAGGCATTTCCATCAAAGAGCTCGTCCTAGGTTGGGTTGCACAGTACTATAAATGGGCGTCACTACAGAACTGTATTGAACCACTTAAAAAGGTGAAGACGATAGACTTTCACTGTGTTTTTTGCCACAATTTTTTTTTTTTTAAGTGAAGGAAGAGTCCCGGTTGTCCACAAGCCCAGCATTCGGTTATGGAAATCAGAGAGTGGATTGGAGCAGGTACAATGGAGGACTTTAAACCCTCCCGTGGACCCCTTTGGCACTTGGATAAAGCTGTGAAATCCTCGCAATTAGGTAAACGCATAAAATAAGCAAACCCGGGGCTTACAAATGAAAGCAATTACATTTACACGCAGTTAGCAAAAGGTTTTTTTAATTGTCATGGGGATATATATGCTATTTTAGGCACCAAATAACAACGTAGTAGCAGGTCTCATCCACCATAAACTTACAGAATAATGATGAGCGTTGCAAGTATCTGAGCTTGAGAAATCATTGACAAAATCACAGGGATTCCTACAAGAGGTCCCTTGCCTCTGTGCATGCCCGGAGGAGATGCTAATGTTCAGTTAGAGGTTCATGAAAATGAAGATGTATTTTTTTTTCGTTATTTAACAGGAAGCTCATGGTAAGGAAACTGACATCAGATATGCTCTGCCAGTTGCTTCAAATGATTTGCAGGATGTTTTCTGCCCCAGCTCAGCCAGAATAGTATTTTTAAAGCTTTGCTCCTCTGATCTGTTACTCTACCTAACAAGGCAGAAGGGAATCGAAAACTGGTCGTGTCTATGACTTTTTAAATATCTGAAGTCATTTTCCTTAATTCCCCAATTCAGTTGCTTTGCATTTTAGAAGAGTATCTGTCTAGTTAGGTCCTACGTATGCAGCACAACTCTCTTTGTAATCTTCACTCCGGGGCTCAGCGAGGGACAGCCAGAACAGGAGTACGCATGTGCGTAAGCCTCGTGAGATGTGGGCAGCTTGGCGGGAGGGCTGCTTGCCTGGTGCATGTCCTGGAAGCCAGTTTTGGGCACACAGAGCATCAAGGGAGAGAGGAGCCAGCTCCTGGCCCTCCAGGATCTGTATTCCAGGAAGGAAGATGCAGACCTTTGAAATTGAAGGGAGACGGCCGCGTTACTATTGAAGCAGACTAAGAGAAGATTCAAGAAGCCACAGTGCTTCCCCTCCCCCCCCCACACCCACTCCCATTATATTGATTATTAATGAAGGCTTCTGATTCAATCCCTTCCATTTCTCTCAGGGTTTCTCCTTTGATCCTGGCCCCCAGGACAGTCCTTCTAAAACAAACCCATGCCCCCTCTGTTTCACACCCACCTTCAGTGGCCCCCGTGTTTAAAGGAGATGAACAGGGACTCCCCCACGCCCACATGTGGGTCGCTGTTGGCCCTGACGAAGCTTCCACCTGCTTACTCAAAATGAGAGAAATAAGCACAGTGGACTGAGGATTTCCATTCAGACAAATTTATGCAAATCAAATCATTGTTCCTGGTCATGAGATTAAGCCCTCCATTCCTTTTTGGTGTTAAAATGTCCTTTATTTTAGTAACTGATAAGGAGAGTAAATTGTAGTAGTGGTTCTTGGCAAAGTAAAATATTGGCCGATGACAAGCATCCAAGCATTTTTTTCTTAAGACTTGAATTTTTGGACAAATAA